CACGACTCATTCGAAGGATGAGTCGTGGCTCTGCAATGTTCACACCTTCGCGCGGTGCAGAGTGTCAGTACTTGGTTCTTCGAACTGGGGAAGCTGAGTGAACAAAATCTTCATAGCTTTTGGAAAAGGATTGGGTGAATGTGGAGTTGGTGTAGCCTTCTCGTGTTCATAGTCTTCAAATTGAATCTCATATAGAACGGAAGATGCATTCGAACGTGAAGATAGGACCAACAAAGTCAGATCAGGCATTTTTAATTAGTTTCGCCATCGCTGCAGCAGTTGCCACTTTGGAATTGCTTGCCTGCAAGCACATCAACGCTTTTTGTTTCGATACTCGCAATCAAATTTTGGATGTACGAAGGCCGCCAGGGAAAGATGACACCTGGGCCAAAGGAAAGTTGTTCTCTAAGATGTTTAGATAATGAACTCATGGATTTTCAATGGGTATGGGCTATTTGCAGGATGATCAGCCTACGAGATTGCTCACTTCTGCCTTGAGTTCGGTCATTCGATCAGTCCAGGAATGACTGAAAAATGGTCTTTTCCTATGCGTAATGTCTTTCGTTATCTCGTAATAGTCGACGCATTGATCAAGAGAGTTTTGGAACTACCTTTTACGAGCAGGGTTAGGTTACTATGCAATAACGGGGTACCCATCTCCAAAAAAATTATCATTGCTCTACTTACCAACTACGCTGGTCTAGACCATTCGACTGAGTACCTTTTCCCTAACTGCTCAAATGCCCGCTTCGGCGGCTTTATGTACAGGGTCAAATAGGTTTTCCGGATCTTGTTGGAGATTCGAACATATCCAGATGGCTGAAGAGGGAGGCTGACTCCACAGTTTTTGTCGATGTCTTCATCAACCCCACAGGCTGGCAATGGCTCGACAGCGACATGGATGACACACACATTCTCACTATGGCGGCCTCGCAAGTGGACTGTCGGTGGAGAAACGAGGATTCTCGTTCCATGTATTCCAGACTTCCACATTCCGATCCTCTCGGGTCTCCTCGAGCCCGTACTATTCAGTATACTAACGTCCACCAAGACCGCCTACCAGCGTTTCAGAATAACCAGCATGCCCCGTCCAAGATTCGACTAGATCGGGTTGACTCGGCTTTTGATTGGAGCCCCTTGTGCCACAATATCTGGGAGGATGCAGCATTTGTTATTGCATAAAAATTCGTCCAATGACCAGTCAGTCGGCGCAGATCCCGTATCATGTCTTACGAATTGATCAATATCCTTGTCATCGGTGGAATGAAGGCAAATCTCGTTGCAGCTGTCATTTCGTGATCATGGTGAAGGTGATGGTCAAGGTGCAGACTCTGCGGTGGGCGCATCTGACTGGTAGACTTGAAGGACGTGTTGGGATATTTGTAGTTTTTTGCAATGACGTCTCGTTTTACCCATCCTCATCTGCTGTATATGTTAGCTTCTTTTGTCACTATAGAGAATTCAATGTTGCTAGATCTTTGAATTATGGTTCGATGCCTATTTCTTACATTTTGGACATCAATTTTGAACATCGAATTGAACAGCCCGGCATCGCTAGATCGAGGATGAATACCGAGTCATTCAAGAACAAACACACACAAACCCACCAGCAGCATCTTTTCATCCCATGATTTCTTGGATCGAGCACAAAGAAGCAATGATATGGGGCCTCCCAAGAATCACAAAGCTAGACAACCGTCCATCGATCAAAAAGTGAACAATATCAGACTGAGCGGACATTAGGTTCAGACAATGCAGAAAACCGGATCGCCATTAGTCTGTCGAAGCAAAAATCTCTATTGACCGCAGAGGGACCTCCAGGTCCAAGCAAGATAAGTCTAGCGGCAAACCACTGCAGCCACAAAACCAGGTGGGAAAGTCATCTGGCTTGCTTGTCTTAAGGCAGTAATAAACGATATTGCCAACAATATTCGAAAAAGCAAGATTTGGGCCAACGACTGGAAAGCTTTTGCGTGCTCAATTCTCAATATTGAACATCTTTCCGCGTCTACAGCAGCCGAAAAGCAGGTCATTGAACGATATGGATCCTCAAATCGAGGCTTCATCTTCGCTCCTCTTCAAAGCGTTGTCAGTACAGAGTGTATACACGTTACCGAAGATCGAACAAGGTCTCCTACCAAACTGAACAGATCGTGCATTCCTTTACTTGCCAACAGTTCCCCTTCCAAACTTGACCCAGAACCTTCCACGGCAACATATACTGAACACGAAGCTTGGGAAGAAGACACGGCGATGACAGTGATGAGGAGGAGAGGGGGGTACCCGACTCAATTAGTGCCTTATACGACCGGATCCTAGATTTACAAATTGTCAGCGTGCTGGCTACACTAGCATTGCCCCCGATACAAGAGAGAAACCGATGTTGTATTCAACCACCGAAGCGCAGGTATCTACCATCCAGTCTTACTGCATATAGGACAAAAACGGCAAGCAGCATAGATGTGAGCAACATAAAACCGTTGATCGGGCATCGGGAGAATCTTTGGGTGCACCATCAAAGGATTTGGGTCATCCTAGTGACTGAGGCCACCTCGTCTCGAGCCACTTAGCTCTATCAATGGGTTGTCACATGATGAAGTTGACAGATAATCCGATGGAGACGCTTTACTTGACAGGGAAGCAAGTGTTCGTCGTCAAATAGACATACTCATGAGATTCTAACTGTGCACCAAGAAATCTGGACTTCTTTGGTTGGAGAGCCACACCACTAGTTAGCCACATTTTCCACCTTGTTTCGCGCCACTCTTCGCACCGTTTCAAACCTTAAATCTACCTCCTTGTCGCTCCTGAAATCTCATTATGGCTAACTCACAATCCCTTTGATCCTTATACTTTCAAGTCGTCCCTACCCTGCTAAGCCCACGACGAAGCACTTTTCGACTCAGCTAACCATGTAGGGGTTCAATCATGTCTCCAAGTCTGTCTCGATCCCCTAAGCGAACTTTTACCTGAGCAAAACTCACATGCATGAATACTAGAGATGTGTTCTCGAAGAGCTGGTCTAAGTCGATGGATACAAGAAGCTGGATGTAGTAGCGCATGATGAGGGTTGCGAACAATACCTCGTCGCAGTCACTCTATGTAGAAGCCCATCAGCTACATATGTTGGACGAAATTGCTGCAAAATGGGAGAAGGTGCTGGAGGATCACACATCACCAGGCTGCTGAGCCTCTCGGGCTGGAGGGAGTCTAGCAGGCAATATGTCGCCATTCGAATATTGAATAGAAGCACTGGTATCCACCATGGCAATCAACCCTTGCATGAAAGCCGGATCGAACATCAGATGGAACAGATTCTACGGAACTGCTTGTTGTTGAGAGTACTGGTTCCTATTGTCCTTCCCCTTGAGCTAAGTGCTTGTGTTCCTTAAACCCTTGCCACGATTCCTTCAATCCTTGAAACCGTCCCCATCTGCTCTGTGCTCACTACTTCTCCTACGGGCCGTTGCCTCAGCCTTCGGTATCGTGACGCGCCCGCTCCATGTTAGCACAATGTACCAAATATGGCAATGCGCCATACTGGGTGTCATTCCTTCGCCGGTGCGGTACATGGTAGATGAGCTAAAGTTGACCTCCCTGTTCAGCCAATCGCTGCATCCGCCTGATGGCTTCATAAACCATCATTGGTTGTCCACACGCCCTCCATGCGTACTCCAGTATGTCCTGCTCGAAGACAGCTGTGTCAGAGTTCCAGTCCGATACCACCAGGTCCGCTGGATGCTGTTGGAGGTTATCTACATTGACGGTAAGGTATGGGATGTCCCCTTGTTCAGGGTAAACATCACTGAAATAGCATATCCTCAAATCCTTAATAGGTCCCCCCGGGGTGGGCGGGGGGGCGGTAATTGCTCACTACTTGCTCTCAGCAATGGTTTACAGGAAACGTCAATCGAAAGATATCGCCTTCAGAGTCTGGTCTGGCTCAGCTGAGTTAATTTTGCAAAGATGGTATCCCGTCTTTTATCACAGTGAGCATCACCAGAATTTCCCTTCTGTATCCAGCTGCCGCTCCGCTACATTCGAGATGCATCCGAAAAAATCAGGGGTTAACCTTTACTCTGGAAAAGTCGGCAAACCCTTGCCATTAGGGGGTACTCTTCTCTTTGTACTGGAGCAGACCGCAATTCTCTTTGTTCACTTTATCTGGCACCAACCTCGGCCTTGACAAGATAAATCAGAGGATCCTTGAATCCATTGTGGTGCCCTTCGGAAGGTCCGCCTTCTTCAAGGCCAGATTCATCGTTGAGTCGAGAGAGGTTTGAGTTAGGTCGTGATGCCTCATGCGTCGACCGTAATGGGAGTTGAAGATGGACTCGTGGCTCTTCGGCCATTTCTTGAGGTGAAGAAAGTGTAGGGGGTGGAGGCTCTTTGGCGCTCGGGGGTGCGAGAATGCTGTCTGAACCCTCAGTTATGAGCAGATCCTGGTTTTCGTTTGCTGGACATGCGTGTATTGACTTGGGGGATTGTGGACAAGTCAGAAATTCAATAAAGTTGGCTACACAGCCAGCCAAGTCTTGGCGCCAGACCTTGGGTACAATTGTTTTTGCCAAGACCTGTTGTTCCCCTTTTGCCTAAATCGAATTTCAGAGGCCGCACAGTTTGAAAATTCACACATCTCATATCGACGATATCGACAATTTGGCTTCCGAAAGCTCTCTCGTCCTCCAGCTACTAAAACGCGCTGATCTCATATTTCACCCTCTTGCGTCGTCATGGCGCCTTCCAACCCACCCAGTGGGAAAGGATCAGACAGTGGCATGGCCACAACACCAAAAATCTCACGGAAACCCGTGTCAAGCACAGCGTCAGCTTTCACTGACGCATTGAAGCAGGCCAACAATGGCCAAACCCTATCCACAACCTCTGGGAACCAGAGCGCCCCGGATCACAAACAACTCACCCCTTCTGGCGGCTAAAGTGCCCCGATTCCACAGCCCCAAACCCAAACCCAACCCCCCCAAAGCAACTCTCCTGTCTTCATGACAAGCTCTCCTCCATTTCCTTCGAGACGCGAGAAAGGCCCTCTTATGAAATGGGTCTCTTCTGTCGCGTCTGCGGTCTTCAGAAAGAAGATTTGGAGAGAGAAGGTCGCGTCTACTGCAGCTGCAGTTGGGGCTGATCTCGCTGACCAGTCGTCCCCATCCCCGTCGCCTGCCCATCCCCTTTTCTCTTCCGCTTCCGCTTCCGCTTCCGCTTCCCATCTCCCTTCCTTCTCTCCTTCGGCTGACTTCCGTCACCAACCAAAAATCTCTCCTTCTCCTTCCTTCACCGGGCTTAAAACTGAGGCTTGTACCAAGGATCTCTCTCGAGCATCTTCCACTGAAGATTTAGAGGACTCGAAGTCGTCAGGGCTGGTGGCGGAGTCTTCCCCATCGTTCGCGGTAATAGACGCCGACGAGAGAAAGCAAGTCCTTAACACTTTGGAGACAGAGGCCGTCGGTGTTGAAAGCTTCAGCAATGAAGCACGTGCGAGAAAAGAACCTCCGCCAGAAAGCTCCAGCACGTGGGCAAATATGGCAGCTTTCCGGGGTTCAGCAGTTGTAGCAGCTCGGCCAAACATGACCAGTACTTCCTCGAAAATTCCAGCTGCGAACAGGAATGACTTTCCGATTGTCGATTACAGCGGACGCCCTACAGCACATTCTCCATCAACGCCACAAGGAGCGAGGCAAGCCTCGCCGCGGAGTCTGCCTCAATTTTCGCAACCAGAAGAAGGGATATATCGAGACACGTCTATTCCGTACCAGGTTCACCGCAAAGGACCTGTTTCGAAGATATCTAGGTGGTAGTTCGGTCTGTGCTTGCGCCAATTGTGCATCCGAATATTCTCGCACTGCGGATGTCTATCAATTACTTATCACTCAGTCACCACATACACCAGCAAGGTGTAAGAATATTTGAATAAACAATTGGTGAGGAAGATGTCAATGGGGAAACACTACCAAATCTTGGAGCAGCACAGTGTACACGAACAGCTCGATCACGAAGCCTTGCAGAATGGTGCAATGTTAGTTGTGCTGCGTCGTTGCCGATCAAAAGCAAGGGCTTGAGATCGCCACTGGCAAGGATTGGTAATGAACTTTCTGTTGGCAGCAGAATCTCAACCCCTCGACCAGCAACTAAAAGATGTGGCTCTCGTCCTTGGGGAAGAGCGGGAAGAGTATAGAGCTTGAGGAGATGCTCGATGAAGATCTGGTGCATGCTCGGGACGGAAGCGAGTGATGAGAAGTGCGGAACGGATAAGGCTTGGAGATCTGGGCCGAATGATTACAGATGTGAAGCGTTAGGCGGTATTGTGTAGGACCCCGACTAAAGGCATGTTCGAAGATTGAGATTAGTTCTCCTTACTTTTGATCAAGCATACTGTCTCTGCTGAAAAACTTGTCCCCATCGTCGTCAGTACTCACATTTCCCAAGCAGGGTCTGCATGGGTGAGGAGTTTCTGAAGGTAAAGTGCACTCCCTAGTGCTTCATCCAAGCAACTTGAAATATCCTTTTACACGAGATGTGTCAATAGACCTTCTCTCCTGTTGGGGCTTTGATATTGCTTTGTGAGATTCCTGCAATCATCTGTGGTTCATGGCCTCAAGTAAGGATGTTTCGTGAAAGGGAGGGGCGCCAGGGAGGAGACCTGAAATGGGGCACGCATGCTAGATTAGGAGTCTTATGGTCATTCTTGGGACTAAACGAAAAGCATTGATGGCAGGATAATGTTCTCGCACGGATGGTGGTATGACTGTGTGTCCAGGGATTGATTGTACTCTGCTGCAAGAGAGATCAGTAGAGCTCAACTTCCCCTAGCCACCTCTATTTGGATCACCAGCCACAACTACTTATTTCAGACGGCATTCCGTCACTTTCCCATCATGATTTCTAGCAGTTTGCTACCTAGTCTGAGAGAGAACCGTCCTTTTTTCGTAATGGCAGCCTGTGGGAGCATATTCGCACCTTTCTTGTACCAAATTGTGAACCTGCTGTGCAGAGTGCGTAGAGAAGCAAGTTGATTGATAGCTACAGGGGTAGAGTGCGTAGATCTAAGTATAATTGGCTGTAAATACTGTACAGTGAAATTAGAAGCGAAATTACAATATAGCTTAATACTAAATTTAATATCTGTTGGAATATCCTCTGTATCCCTGAATTGGTGAGCTTCCTTAAGTGGTTCAGTACTTCTGATGAGTTTAAATGGATCAAGAACGCATTCCGAAGAAGCACAGCCAGCGGAGCCTCCACTACCCCGCGACTTGACTCCCGCAGGTCCTCGAAAGTGTAAGATGGTCAATTTTCTTGTACGCGGTATTCATGATTTCAGGCACTATCGTCAATCTTGCGACTTTACCATACCATATGAAAGCGGGATCGTATGCAAATTCGCGTCGAGGCCGATACTCAGCAATACGAGCCGCGCGTTCATCTCTTGGCTGGGAAAGGCACAGGAAACTATGGAGAGTAATGCCATCGAAGCCTTGTGTAGACGATGCCGGTCATTCGGCCTAGACAAATACGTTGAGCAAGGGCCTCCAGAGAGATCCGGGCGGATTGTCGCCACGGTCACACCCGATTCAGCTAACGACGGATGCGCACTCTGTGTCTTAATCACCGACTTACTCGAGGAAGATCCAACTGGCAGTGGGCGTCTCGAGCATGACAATTCGACGCAGGTGAATATCGACCGCAATGCTCAATCCGCTAGTGCTGTAGTGCGCCTACACGTATATTTCGAGTCGGACTTGGGCCCAAACATGGTGTATCTCAATATCTTTAGCACTGGCCCTCGGAAATCGCAACGACTTTTTCTCCTGCAAAAGTCATTAGCGAAGTCAGCCGGCACGACTTCCGAGTCTGGACAAGATGTGGATGCGGACTCGCCTGATCTCGTCTATGTCCAGCAGTGGCTCGATAAATGCAGAGACAGCCACGCGTTGGTGGCATCTCGCTTTACGCCGCTACAGACGCGTCCAGGAGCTCCACTTAGAGTCATTGATTGTCGAGCCCGTACCGTGAGACTTGCTGAATTGTATGAGCCGTACATTTGTTTGAGTTATGTTTGGGGAAAGTATAGCCCCAGCAGCACGTTCGATGGCGCCGCACTGCCCAACGATCTGCCCCAGACTATCGAAGACGCGATATTTGTAGCAGTTAAGCTTGGCATGCCGCAACTCTGGGTGGATCAGTATTGTATCAACCAGGAGGACCTTGAAGAGAAGATGAAGACAATCCAAGACATGAACCTTATCTATGGCGGTGCGGAACTCACGATCGTTGCAGCTAGCGGCGAGGATGCGTCGGGTGGCTTGCCTGGAATTCGAGGGACGCCTCGGCAGATCCGCCGTTTGATCAAATCGGGAGATAAAACTTTCTGGATGTCGAAAGACATATCTATGTCTTTCAGGAGTTCGAGATGGAACACCCGTGGCTGGACGTATCAGGAAGGCCTACTCTCACGCCGCCGTCTCGTCTTCATAGACGCGCGCTTGTACTGTCAATGCGACGAGGGTTACTATGTTGAAGCATTGAACTCAGGGGTTGAAGACATCTCCGAGTTTCTAGGCCCTTCGATTCGGCTCTTCCCACCCGGTGCGATCTTAACCATCCCAGATTTCCTGTACGACAGACTGAGAAACTACTTTCCGCGGAATCTGTCGTACGGTTTAGATAGCCTGAATGCCTTCCAAGGTGTTCTGAATGCGTTTAAGTCTAATGATCAGGGTCGAGAGTGTCCCGTCAAGCATTTCCACGGCATTCCATTTAAATACAGCCAATGTTCGCCGCACATCTCAATGAAATCGTTCCTGAGTGGGTTGGCGTGGAGGATAGACCATGCAGTCACTCAACAATGTGCACAATCCAAAGAGGAAAGTAGCGCGGATTTTCCGTCGTGGACGTGGGCATCCTACAAGGCATCGCATCCAAACGCCATGGAACGACTTGTGCTTGATTACTTTCCTCACTCGTTGTACTACCAAAAGGACATCGATGTATGTATCTCCGATCAGAACGCAGAAAGAGTCGGTATTCAAGAATTTGTCTTGCGCTCGGGCCCCGAAGGAGACACCACGAACTACTTTCCGCGTATATACATCACTTCCTGGACCATTAACAGTTGCATATCCGGTGGTTCTGGTGAACGTTTGACATTTCTTGGACTTAAAGGAAAGGAAGAGCTCGTGCATCTGGACGAGATCAGCGTGCCATGGGACGGCAAGGAAGCGGTGGCAGTGTACCTGGGCGGCATTTCTTTGAGACGCAAGCATATAGCAGAAGGGGGAATACCCTTAGAACATCTCCGCTTTGTGTTTATGTTGGTACGCGAGGCAGGACCTGAGACGTACAGCCGCATTGGCTTGTCGTGCGTTGATCTGCACAAGCCACCCTCGGAGAAGCAGGTTGGTGTTGAAGAGACGTTGAGGAAAACTATGGAGGGTTCCAAAAAGGGAGAAGAGATGAACTGGGAGAGAAGAACATTACGACTTGTCTGAGTAAAGAGAGAGTAGCTGCATGGCCAAAAACAAAGACATATATGTTCGAGCAAACACGATACTATTTGCCCATCGTTTTTCGCGTGGCAATAGACTACTGTTGTTGGACTGACACCCAATGTAGGCTAAGAAACGTGGGAGTTTCTGGCCCTTGGTCCATTCCTGCTGCGAAGCAGAAAACAGAGCCAGGCGACCCCCATAACAATTCTGGTAGTGATGACAAGCTACCGACCCCATCACAAGCATACAGAACCCCGGCGCCTCCAGAGCCTGTGCAGAACGACCATCCAAAGCCATTGCAGGACGAAGCTACGAAGCCGCTGCACAAGATGCGATTCAAAAATTCCCAGAGGATCTCCACAAAGAAACCACAGAAACACTCATGCAGTCAAACGCAGGATGCTGATCCTCTCCTACAACTTCTCCCAGATACTCTACAGCTTTTGCCATCTTTGCTCAAGACACGACCGGCTTGCCTCTTGAAGTCTAGCCCAGATGATGTATCCAAGACACCAAAGAAGTGGACCGGCATTGGTAGTCTCGAAACGAAGATGACTCCATGGTCCATTTATGCAAATCTTGATCTGGGAACAAATTCCTTGCCTGAAGATCGATCTGAGATCTCTGTCAGCGTCGTCTTTCTTGTTGCATTCAATGGTGTGACCCTCCTCGAATTTCCCGTAAATGCGGAAAAACACTCGACCCCAACATTTCAATTCACATTGAAATTTTCCGTGAAGTTGGTCAAGAAAGACGAAGACGACGACCATCTTCCACGGTGCATCAAAACTTTTGAATATAGCAAATACGAAGCCTTCTATTCGTCTGCTGATTTAGTACCGCCTGAAGCCCAAGTGGGCAAAAGCATTCGAGACCAGCTAATCGTAATGGATTGGTACAGTGAGTGTGCTGAGCTATCGGGTTCGCAGAGTCCGGCAAGCTTTAGGGAAGCTCATAAACGCTCTGGCAAGTATCCCGATTCAGTATTTGTCGCACTTGACATCATGGAAAGTATATTTCGCCAGGGGGGGCACGTTCGCCTCATCTACGACGTCGATCACGATTTTAGCGACATCATTGAAGATATCGCTATGCCTGATATCAAGAACAAGGTAAAGTTGATGTCTTGAACTAAAGGAGTCCGATAGCGATCACTTATAGGGGATCGTCTACGTCTCATCGATTTTAGTCCAGAGTATCTAATGTGTCGCATCATTTCACCCCATATCATGTGGCTTTCTATTCTCACTCTTCTCCAATTGCTTCAGTGTAGGCCGGTGGTCGAACCTGATCTCACGTGAAAAGCTTGCAAAGTGATGATAAGCCCCTCGCCCAATGTACTCGCTATCCAGTTATGAAAGCTCTATTGCTGCGGTGGGCTTCGCTATCAATATCAGTGATCGTGCACGGTCGCAGTGAATGATTGACGAAGCACATTGATCATTTATTATTTTATGGTAGTACATGATGCTCTCAGCCAGTGGGCACCGATCGAAGGTTCGAGCTAGCAAAAGTTGATACGTTAGTGTGATGTCGTGTATTCCAAACCTGACGACACTCTTCGCAAAAGGAACGAACGTTTTGGTTCCTAGACCCTTGCCAGGCTCTGCATGACAATCCACCATCCCACAAATATAGACTTCTCCAGATTACAGTGAGAGGTTTGGTGGGCAACCTGATCTGAGCTTATAACCTGTCAAGCACGTCAATCGAGATATTTGACCTCAGACGGGATGACTCTCAAGCTGACTATGCATTGCGTAGTAAGTCTTGTTTTTGGTCGATCGCAGCGAAGCAACGTATGAATGTTGCACGCAGCATCCTTACCCAGGGACACCTGCAACACAACGTTCCAGGTCTAGACAAAAGGATACTTTACTAAAGACGCAGTGCTGCCCTTCTCCCAAAGTCCCATCATGTACCAGACCCCTTGACAATGACAAGAAGAAAGCCTCCTCAGTACGTAGCAGATGGACGAGGCCAATCCAGCAATGTTAGCATTGACAGAAACATTATTGATATAAGAACGGAAAGATCGGAGATTTCCTTCGCAGAACAGATCAGAGTGGGCATGAAAGATGGCAAAAACACCGGCCGAAGCTTACCCTCAATGCTGCTTTGGACGAAAAGGGACTTCAACTCTTTGAAGCCGTTGCCCAACTTGACCAGTACTATGTCGCTCGTACCGAGATCGAGATAATCGTGCGGCATGCTGCCGAAATGGCGCAAAGGATCCAATCGCACTGTATGGTGATCGAATTGGGGAGTGGGTACGTGTCCCTGAATCCTAGAACATGTGCAATAGTTGGACATATTTGGCTTTAATCGTCTTTGAGAGTGTCAAGTAGGAGATAGACTGACATGGACTCCGCCCCATGCCTAGAATCCCGCAAAGATCAAGCACCTTCTCCGAGCTCTCGATGACCTGGGCCGAAGCATCGACTACTTCGCCCTGGACCTCTGTTTTACGGAACTCCAGAGCAGTCTCAACACGTTGTGTGCCGAGGGATTCAATCATGTCCACTGCCATGGACTATTGGGGACATACGACGATGGGCGTGCCTGGATGCAACTCCCCGAGAACTTTCAGCGGTCCAAATGTTTGGTCTCCCCAGGATCTTTGATCGGTAACTTCACCCCTCACGAAGCAGTGGAGTTCCTTTCTGTGTACGTAGAGACCCTTCGATATCGTGGGCCACCATCAGAACGGCACCAAGTTCAGCCAGAGTCACTATTCATTATCGGGCTGGATTCATGCAAGACTGCTGAGACCGTTCACCGAGCCTACAACGATCTTGGTGGCTTCAATGCCCGGTTCAACATGAACTCATTAGAGCATGCCAACCAAGTCCTGGGTTACAAAGCTTTCCGGACCGAAGAATGGACCGTACGAGGCGAGTGGGATGACCGAACAAGGTGCTTTAATCAATCACTAATTCTGGTTATTGATGTCATGTTCGAAGGTATTTGCTTGAAAGCCGGCGAAAAGGTGCATGTCTCGCATAGCTATAAATATGATGCTATACAAAAGGTACAGCTTTGGCGGCAGGCGGGACTCAAGGAGCTAGCAGGATGGAGATGCAAGGACTCATATTACGGTAAGACGCCCTCCATTCTTTCGGCCTGCTCTGTTGTACCAGGCAAATGACATCCAATATATCGATAGGAACTTATCCGAGAGTCTCGATGCTGGAGATTGCCCATACGACCAATTGAAGTCCCTCTATTGGTGGTTGAAGTGCAGCGTTCAACCTGAAAGGATTACATGCATATCGTCGACACATGATCTGGACATTTGGCCATCTCTTCTATTGCAACGGGGGACTTATGAGTAGAGGAACCGATATTTAACTGTCTTTCTCAAGCGCTGTAAAAAGCGCTCTGAGGTTTTCGTAACTGCTGTTGCCCCGATGCGTTCATCATATAAATGGACCAGAAGCCTTGCAAAAAAGTGTCAGAATTGTCTAGCTGGCTAGAAAACACTGAGACTAGTAGATCTCTCAACAACTTTCTTGTAAAGTCAATGACGGGGTTGTTAAGTAGTAGTACTACCTGATTGTGTCAACAATGAGTGCCAGGAAGTGAAACCTTATGATGATTGTGGTAGATAGTATCAAGTTGGTAAAACGTCCTCTGACTCTGAAGTTACTCAACCTAGGTACATTCTACGATGATGATCTCGCGCTAAAGAGCTGTATCAGTGAAGCTTCGTCGAATGAGTGGTGATCATTCCAAAAAGAGCGGCCCGGTCAAATGCATTTTCTGCCATGCACTGCACCGGATCGGAAGAGTTTTAGCTTCCAACCACGAAAGTTTGTGGTCTTCCGTCCCGGCATCTCGTCTTGCTATATCCGGATGTGGAAAGTGGGTCACAGTAACGTACGTAGTACAAGAACGAAGCATGCTGCAGTGCAATACGTTAAAGGGGTATTCTCTTTGCACGTCTCAGGATCAAGCGCAGTTTTCCTGACCACCCTTGCTTTACCTGTTCTGGGGTCTACTAAAGTAATTCCATCAACAACAGCATAGTAGAGAGCCCAGCGGCTTGCTTACAAACCAGCCGCAGCAATATTCTCTCTTCGCAGGTCATTACATCAGAATTCTCTGGAGATGTCCTCTACCAAAGAAACCACTCCATCCATAACCGAGCAGGATGATCGCTGGACAGCAGTGAACCACTTTCAGTTCCCTCATCTCTTCCCGCCCTCACGGCCCTACCACGCCGCCATCGAGCATGCTTTCAAGAACTCGATTGATAAAGGTCTCGAGGACATATCGGTAGCCCCCTCTCAGGGCAAATTCCTCGCCATACAATGCCAGATTATAGGCGCTAAGCATGTGCTGGAGATCGGCACTCTCGGCGCATACTCAACTATCTGGATGGCCAGCGTGAGTCCTGACATCAGGATCACCACTATTGAGATTGATCCGCATATTGCCGAGATAGCGCGAGAGAATATTAGCTTTGCCGGCCTTGACGATCGAATAGAAGTCTTTGTGGGTGCGGCCCTGGATGTCTTGCCTCAGCTCGACGCAGAGATTGAACAGGGAAAGAGGGAAAAGTACGATTTCTCTTTCATCGATGCGGATAAGGAGAATGCATTGCCATATTTTAAGTGGGTGGTGGAGCATACGGTGAAAAAGGGAGTTATCTACATAGATAACATTGTGAGAAAAGGCTTGCTAGCAAACGCAGAGTTGGCGAAGACAGATCCAATCGTGCAAGGGATCAGAATGGCAGTGGAGGGAGTAGGAAAGGATGACAGAGTTGATGCAGTGGTACTGCAGACCGTTGGAGAGAAGAATTACGATGGGTTTCTGATGGCAATGGTGATGTGAGAGATCATGTTGTTTCTCCAGAGTTCGTGCTCTTACTATTAGAATAATCTGCACGAAAAGTTTCCCTTCCTTGCTGCTCTTGCGGAGCCACGGGAAGTGGGAAAGGTCGTTCGCCTTTCCACATCAGTGTGATTCTTGGTTAAGTAGAAGGTGCACAACCAGAAGCAAATAGCTTCCCAAAATTGTTTCCAGGTCACTGGACAAAACCTGGAATTCGCTTGGCAGCGACTTCTTCCTTGCAGTCTTCTATCTATAATTGCTATAGTCAGAGATCATTTCAAAGAATCAGAGGAAATAGGAGTATGGATCTGATGATTGGGGAAATGTAGAAGTCAGTGGTTGAACAGGCGTCAAAAGGGTAACCGTTGCTGACCTGGCCATCCATCGTAAGTCCCTGATGAACGGAATAGAACATTACAAAACAGATAAACGAATTTTTACGGAGGCATGAAGAGGATGGTTAAAAGCACTCTAGAGTTGTGGAGCAGTACAATCTCAATGCATGAATACTAGCATAAAACTCCAGATGGAGTAGTAACTCCGCAGGCGCCAAGGCTCTTTTCCATTCAGTTCTACCTGGCCCCGCATGGGCGATGGGGTCCCGTATTCTTACTACGCACTTTT